CACTTCATTGATATTTCGAGCTATCTGAGCTGCATTGCTTCCATGACAAAACTCATATTCAAAAATAACATGAATTTCTGACTTATCCCTGGTTTCACAAAAATTGCTCTAAAAAAACTTAAAAAGATAATCACAAGCCAAACCATGCATTTGAAATAATGAGGATGTACTTCCACAATAAAAATAAAATAAGAAGTGTCAGAGTGAAATTTCATGAGGATAAAGATTTGAAAGCTCATTATAAAAAGTGGACAAGTGAGTTGAACAACTAAATAAATCAGACGGGTCCTTTTGTTACAATAGAGGTGTCTGTTCACTGTTCTGTGGCAAACATATCTTGCTCTTACTCTGTAAACCTATATTTTGTTCTTGCTCTATAAACCTATCTTGTTCTTCCTCAGTAAACTTCACTTCATGCTTGCCTTAAAATATAAATAAATAAATAACAGGGGTAAGCATGAGCAATTTTCTCTGATCGTTTCTAGTTATGTTTATAGATAATTCAGGAAGTTTTAGGGCCAGGTTTCTGATCCAATGGCTCTTGGCTTTTTTCTGCTCCAAACAGCATCTCTAATACAAGTAAGGACTATCACAGTGATCTACTGTATCACTGATTCTGAAGGATGGAGTGAGGTACCTCCTTAGAAAGGTGTATACAAAACTCAGAAACAGAAAAATATGTGTTGCACATGTGCATGTATTCGTGCAGTTTGAAAAAAATCCATTATATGATTCTGATATGCCCTCCACAGGGAGGCAAGCAATTTCTCCTTGAAAATAGAATAACCAAGTATTGAAAGTAGACCAGTAGGAATTTCTCTGCAGATAAAATGACAAGTAATTTTTATATTTAATAAATATTTTAGCACATACAAAATAATTAGTTCCCTTTTCTTTAAGTAAATAAAAGTCCCTAGATATTTTCATTCCATTATAGAAATTCACTTCGTGACACTTAGAAATATGCATTATTAAAATTAGTGGAATGACCATTTCAGTTTATAATCATTTAAATGTAGAACACTTAATTATTTAGTAGAAATATATTTATGAATGCTTTACAAATATTGAATCAACATGTTTTCAGTAAATCCTTCCTTAGGCAGAATTTTCTGACTTCAGTTCAGTCATTAACTACTTTGGGTCACTAGTGATCAGTTAGTAAATTACTGATCCATAGTACTTTAACGTCCTGAAAAAGTAAATGCACCTTCTGAGACCCTAATTGAATCTCGGAGAGTTATTTATTCACCATTAAGATTGAGGTAAATGAGTCAGCTCATAATAATGATACTAAATAGTTACATTCATTTCACAAATAGATAAATTGAAGCTCAGAAAAGGTAGGATTAGAGAGCTAAGAATCCAGGTTATATTCTTAATTTGAAAAGACTCAATTCCCAATATGTAGCTAAATAAAATGAATATATGAGCTTGAAAGCAGTATTAGTTATTTTTCTGAAAATTCATTTTTATATAGTGTTAAGTTTAATACCTTTCAGTTAATAATTCTAAACTCATGGTATATATATTAATATGGCCTTGTTATAATGTAAATGGTACAATTTTTAAAAAGTAAAATTTCAGACTCCTTTAAGATAAAAATTTTCCTAAAACCAGTTACTCTGACTGCCTACTAGATGGGTCATTTGAAAAATGAATGATATCTTAACAATATGGTAAAATGACAAAAGTTTCAGAGTAAGAAAAACATAGCTTTAATATCTGACTTCTGTACTTACTAACTAAGAACTGAACAAATTATTAAACTCTCGAAGTTTTAGTTTCTACACTTATAAAAAGGAAATGAAATGCATAATTCATAGCTTATTGTAAGGATTTAGTGAAATTATTTAAATACTTTAGCACTGGACCTAGCAACAAATATATATGGGCTTGGTATATACACACACACCACACACACACACACACACACACACACACACAGCTTAACTATAGCTAGAATATTTTTTTATCATATAATATCTTTTTATTAAACTACAGAATTTCATATGAAAAATTGTGGCTGAAACAAATGGCTAGTTACATGGGTGTTTTCTATGTTTTTGTGCTACAAAAGGCACAGATTTCTGAAAACTTTTCTGTAACTTATCACTTCACTGTAATAAAATATGAGTGAGGATTGGTTGCAAAGAACACATTTGCTAGATATAAATTAATAATGGAGCTGATGTGTTTTGTTTACCAAAAAGGATATATAAGCTAGAATATTTTTAAGAGCATTACTACTTCAGAGACCAGATTCATCTAAATTGGTTTAGCATTCCACTAGGCCTGTTAATTTTTTCTTGGTCCTGAAAAGCAGTAAAACAAGTTTCTATCTTCTTTCATAAAACAATAAAAAAGAAAGAAAAGTAACCAGAAAATGTTCAACAAAAAATTTACTAGTGTTTGTATTTGTCTGGAAGGGGCTTCTCACAGCTTCAATAGCAGCCAAAGATCATTTTTTCAAAAAAGATGCATCTTTTAGATATTTAAATATTAGAT